ACTTCTTGGAGTGCATTTTGAAAAATTGTAAAGGCATTTTGTTTACCATAATGAATAGGGGTGTTACTGACTAGATGTCCTGCAATTTTGAGACAGTCCTCCTCAATGAAGACTGGTTCTGTATTTCCTAGGACTTTTGTATATATAACCTCCCATGCTAATCCCTCTGTAGGTATAAACTGGTATTTAAAAAGTTTTTAATTTGTTTATTACCATTTAAAAAATAATATTGTGGTCTAGGTAAAAGTTTACACAACGAATTAAGCTCACCTTAACAGTCTCCATACAAATCGTTTCCATGCCACCAGTCACAGTCTCCACGATGTGTCAGCACCCTCATCACTTTCTTTCTGTTTGTTCTGCTTTCATTGATCTAGCTTCCCTGCCCTTCCTTGCCTTCTCATCTTTGCTTTTGGGTAAATGTTGACCATTTATTCTCATTTGTTAAGGGAGCTTGGATGATACTGCCTATTTTATGTCAGTCCATTATTTAATTGAACAGTGACCTATAGAAATAATAGCTTCAGTTCCAAATTCAAAGGGTTTTTAGGGTAACAACCTTGGGAGGTTCCTTTGATCAGTTCTAGTCTAATTGGTTTAGTAGGTTTGACCTTTTTTAGGAATTTGAGTTTTGTTCTACATTTTTCTTCCCTTCTATCCAGAGCCTTCTAATATGCTCCTGGTCAGACAGTTTCTTCTGGTCTCAGGTTAGAGGAAGTTATTCATATGGGTTGTTAGTCCCATGAACTAGTGTCTTCTTTGAGCCTTTGATTGCCTTCATTTTCTTTTGCTCCATACAAGTAGAGTCCAATAGTTAGTTGCACATTAGATGGCCACTCTCAAGGAACCACAAATGTCACTTATCAGTCTGGGGTATAAAACATTATCTTTGTGAATTATGTTATGCCAGTTGACTAACTGTCCTCCAAGTGCTGTGGTTTCAAGCTTTTTGGACCAGTAAACTAATCCTGAGAGTTGATTGGGTATATCTAGGCCGCCTCTGTAACTGTACCCCCATGTAGTTAGTTATATGAATGGATATATATGTAAATTGGTAGTTTTGTAGTACATATTAGTAGTGAAAGTAATGTAAACAAGAAAGGTAAATGAAAAATTTATTAAGAAAACTTTTAGTGTTTTTTATTTTGGCATAACAAAATACCACACATTAAGCATTTAAAACAACAGTACTTTGTTAGCTCTTAGTTCTGTAGGCCAGAGGTTGGGTTCGGCTGCTTTATCTGTGCAAGATCTCACAAGTCCAAAATCAAGTTGTCAGCTAGGCCAGGGGGGAAGAATCTACTTCCAAGCTCAGATTATTGGCAGAATCGTTTCCTTGTGGCTGTAGATCTAAGGCTCCTGTTTTCCTGGTAGCTGCCAGCTCCTAGAGGCTGCCCACCACTCGCTGCATGTGGCCCCTCAGTTTTCAAAGCCAGAAAGTCCTCATTTTCTCTGATGTTCCCTTCTGCTAATGGAGGGAGAAGACTCTACCTGTAAATGGCTCTCTTGGTTGTGTCTGACCCAGCCATATCGTCTCTGAACCTGAAAATCAATTGACTTGGGACTTTAAATACCTGTGCAAAATCCCTACACACCAGTACTCAGATTAGTGCTTGATTGACTAACAAAGGACAGGAATCTTTGAAATTCTGCCTACCAGAGTTAAAATGAAGAAGGAAACGTAATGAAATAAAGATTTTGTCTCAAAATAATTGAGTAATTTATTCGCTCTGCACATTCTGTTCTGTTAAAGTATTATAGCATTTCCAGCTTGCTGTTTAGTTGAAAAGTCTTGCAGCATGGTTACTGTAAAAGCAATGAAACTGATTGGAATATGTAACAGAAGATTTGAGGCAGCTGTTCAGATTTCAATTATCAAATTGTTATTGTTAAGTACGTTGAGTCGACTCAACTCATAGTGACCCCGTATAAGATTTCTGTGAGCAGATGATGGGTTTGAACTGCCAAACTTGTGGTTCACAGTCCAGTGTTGATCCTATAGTGCCACACCAGGAGTCCTAATTATTAAATTAGTGGAGACAAATGTATGTATTTCATTGGATTTCTTTAATAATATCTATTTTAATGTTTCATATTAAATGATAAATTGAAATTTTATTTTCAGAAAGCTTTCGTTTTCCCATGTTACCCTAAAACGACCCATTATCTATTACACAACTGCTTTACTGACTCTTACATTTCTCGTTGTTTTTGTCTAGTCCACCTTCTATTTCAAAGGTCCCTTTACATATACTGATTATACATCTCAGTGGAGTTCCAAGACAAGAAGACAGGTTTTCTGTGATACTTTCATTCTAACCTGTGCCATCCTATAACCTAGGGGATTATTTTGACACCACACTTAGACATACATCAGATCTAGCTCATTTGTGATAATATCCTCCTTCCTCATTTTCTTGACTGTGACTGTCATTTTCCTTAGTATATTGCTCTGGCTTTAGTTGAGGTTACTATATCATTTCTTATAAGTTACTACTTATCATAATGTTATTTTTTTATTCTAGTATTAGTCTGTATAGCTGTGTGCTCATCTACTGTTGTATACTTGCCCATAATGGCTTCTTATTTTTAAATTCACATTTATTCGTGGCAAGTTGGTCTATACACCTGACACCTTCTTTATTTCATTATGTTACCAAGCATTTACATATTGAATTGAAACTTTAAAAAAAAATTTTTTTTTTTTAGTGTTTTTTATTTCTCCTTTAAATATTAGGGCATTATATTTATTTTATTTTTAAAATTTGTATAGGTAAGTTATATCATCTATGTGTTTTATTTCCAGATAGTAAAGGGGACATAAAATATGTATACTAAAAAGGGGATATTAGGTCTGATAGAGTTGAGAACTTCTGTTCTATCATGAAAAGAAAATGTGCTAGTCCTTAGGCTGTATTTCCTATCCTGCTTTGTCCTGGGGGTGACCAGCAGCCCTGGTATCTTGACATCTACATGAATAGAAAAGGTTTTCTGTACATGCACTGTCATCTGTCTTCTTATCTCAAAAGATGCTCTTCATTTATGCCTTTTGTTCCTTGTTATAATTTAGAAATACCTTTTGGTTTTCCTCAACTTTTGCAGCAAGAGATTCAGCTTATCTTAGAATATTCACACACTTAAGAATCTAGCTGTGTTTTCCTTTGAAGATTCTAAGTGCAGTATGGTGATTCTTTTGTTCTCTTAGCAGTTACTGATGAATTTGTGCAGCTTAGTTTTTCATCCAAATTGCTAACACACACACCCTTTTGAAAAAAAAGTGAAATAGTTTTTTAAGCATAGTATCTTATTAGGCATGTTTTAGATAAACTAGATCTTGTCAAGTCTGACCTCTGTACATATCTGACAGGTAAATAAAACAGTATGATAGAAAAAGCAGTGGACTAGAAATGCAAACCAGGTTCTTGATCTTGATTGTCATTATCTTGGACAAGTTTAGTTTTTCTGAGCCTCGGTTTCCTCATTTGCATGTAGAGTTAGTATTTGCCCTGCTATTAGAACCAAATAACACAATGATTGCTAGTGAAATGTTGTGAATTATAACGTGTTTTGTTGTTGTTGTGAAGCGCCGTTGAGTTGGTTGCAATCCATAACGACCCTGTATAGGGTTTCCAAGGAGCAGCTGGTGAGCTTGAACAGCTGACCTTGCAATTCAAACGGCTTTGCAGTCTGGAGCATTAACCCACAACGCCACACCAGTACTCCATAAAGTGTTTTAAGAGGGGGGAAATGGAATTGAAAGATAATGTAATTTTTTCACAGACTTTTTGAAGTCTCGTATAAAACCTGCTAGGTCTTATTCATCCGAAAAAAATTTGGTCATTTAATCAGTCTTGTAGATGACTTCAAATGCCTTTTTACCACTACCACTAGAGCTAAAGTGATACTGTGTGAAGGATAGGTTGGAAGGGGATTTTTAAGAGCCTAATTGGCTGATTGGCTGACTACTGAGAGTTCCCATGGGAGAAGGGATGGCATCTCACACAAGGCACTGGAATTGAAAATGGGGAAGACACATGCTGGAAGCTTTGGCTGTACTCAGAAACCAGTATGACTTAAGGGTGATGGGGAAGTAAGAACCTAAGAGACTGGAAATTTGGTGATCAGGAGGCAAAGCAAGTAGGAAGGAAGCAAATGTGGGTATATGTCCCATGAGGCATGCCATGTGTGAGCTGCTGCTTTTACAACTGTTGTTATATGCCGTGGAGTTGGTTACGACTCATAGTGACCCTGTACAGAGTTTTCGAAGCTGTAAATCTTTATGGGAGCAGAAAGCCTCATCTTTATCCCATGAAACAGCTGATCGTTTCTAACTGCTGACCTTGCGGTTCGCAGCCCAATTCGTAACTGCTACACTACCAGAGCTCCTAGAGCTGTCCAAAAACCGTTGGAATATGGGCCTAGAGCTCAAAGAGACCTAGAGCTAGAGATTAGACCAGAGAACACCCGTTAGTGAGATCACAAAATGAGCTAAGGACCAGGGGTGAAGCTTTGTGGAATGAATGAATGCACTGAAGGGGCTATCAGGCCACAAAAGCCAACAGAAGTTCTTCTCAGCCCTGTCACATGGTCTGTGAGAGGAGAATGTGGGAGGTGGAAGATACTATACACTTACTGCTTTGTCTATGTATTAAAAAAAAAAAAAGAGGTCTTGGGTGTCTGATAAACTAGCGGATAAGATTTGTTGTTGTTGTTGTTAAGTGCCATTGAGTCGGTTCCGACCCATAGCGACCCTGAACAGGGTTACCGTTAGCCCTATGGAAACCTTCTACAGAACCACGAACTGAAAATGAAAAAAACAATAAGAATTTACATTTTGTTAAGTGGCCTGTAGTCCCTTTTTAAAAGGAAATGTTGGTTTTCCATATTCAGTGTTGCTGACAGATACTGCTCTAATCTTACTGAAAGGTTAGTTGTATGACTAAAATTGTAATATTATTGAGCCTTACTAATGCTCCTCTTTTATCTTCTCTTTCCTTTAGATTTTACATTGTGCCATAGGTAAGTATGGAATTTTTGCCCCTATGATATTTATTGGATTCTGCTGTTTGTTTTAATAGATAGGCTTGATTCTGAGTGAATACTGTTGTTGTTGTTGTTGTTAAGTGCCGTAGAGTCGGTTTCAACTCATAGTGACCCTGTACAGGGTTTCCAAGGCTGTAAATCTTTACGGGAGCAAAAAGCCTCATCTTTCTCCTGCGGAACCACTGGTAGTTTCGAACTGCTGACCTTGTGGTTCCCAGCCCGACTCGTAACCACTACGCTACCAGAGCTCCTTGAGTGAATACTAAGAAAACAAAAATCATTAATCACTATGTACAAAATTTATTTAGTCAAAAAGGCCTTTGCTTCTAAAGTCATAAATACTGCTTAGACATTAGCACTTCACCCAATTCACCATAAAACTTTAAAAAAAAAAATTTTTAAGGACTGTTTCTTACTCATTTCTATATCCCAGTGCATAGGAGCATTCTATTAGCAGTGAACATTTGATGATAATCATATCAAATGCTGATACACATTTCCAAAACTAGTTTTAAAATACTTGTAACTTCTTGTAAAAGAAAAAAACAGAAGTTGTCTCTAGAATTAGTCTAAAGGTGATGCTTTTTCTTATACAACTTTTTATGTTTAGAATGATTTATTTTCCTGTAGCATTCACTTTTATAACTTAGTTATTTAGACACTTATTTTAGAACCTTGAGCTGTCTTTAGCTCACATGCTGTTGATTTGAAGTGTGGCTCACAGTTACTATTTGTGTGATTTCCAGGCAGTAACTCAGCTTTTGTGGACAGGCATACTTTATCTTATTGCACTTTGCAGATACTGTGTTTTTACAAATTGAAGGTTGTGGCAACCCTGTGTTGAGTAATTCTATCAGCACTATTTTTCCAATAGCATGTGCTCACTTTGTGTGTTTGTGTCATATTTTAGAAATTCTCATGTTATTTCAAATTGTTTCATAATGCTATAGTACATTTAATAGACTACAGTACAGTATAAACATAACTTCTACATGCACTGGGAACCCAAAACTGTGTGTGACTTGCTTTATTGTGGTTGTTTGAACCCGAACCTGCAGTATCTCTAAGGTGTGCCGGTCCCTCCATTTCTTCATCACTAAAGGGGGAATAATAATTCCTCCTCACAGAATTATTATGAAAATTAAATGGAGCAACGCATGAGGCACACTTAGCAGGGTGTCTGGAACATGATGCTGTTGAATAATTGCCGGATAAAATGGTAGCTGTTATTATTACTGAAAGCAATGTAAATGCCATAGCAAATGAAAAGGTTCATTCTAATCCTTAGTGTAATGTTCAGTATTTAGAGTTCTATAAATTTAACTCTTTCATGGTTTTATTTTGCATAAGTTAGAGTTTTTATATGGTGCTTCAGGGCCTTTTATTATTAACATGAGTTGTACTTGTTTGTCCATGACTGCGACAATGCAACTTGACAAACATGACACCCAGAAACAATAAACTAAAATTCCCGTAAGTGCTCATTTCTGTCCTTTCAAATGAGTCCCTGTGCCCCCAGCTGTTTAGAAGTCGGGTTTTTGTTCTCTTGTGATAAAGGAGAGACAAGATCTCTCAGATGTTTTCACTTGATTCTCAACTTAAGATCTGTAGTGCTTTATGTTCTGTTTTACTTTATAGGGGCCCTGGTGACATGGGGGATAAGTGTTTGACTGGTAATCCAAAGGAAAGCTGTTCCTCCTAAGAAGGGCAAGGCGGTCTGTTGCGGAGTACAGAAACCCCAAGGAACAGTCCTACTCTGCAGTGTAGGCATTCTGCTATGAGTCAGAGTCAGCTCAGTAATTGGTTCTGTTTTGTTTTATAGAGTTGTTATTGTTGTTGTTAAGAGCCGTCCAGGTGATTCTGAGGAGCAGCTGGTGGGTTTGCAGTCCAGTCCTTACCCTATAGTGCCACACCCAGGAGCCCTTGATAGAGGTGGTGTTTTTAAGTGTCATCAAGTTTGTTTCCACTCATAGCCATCCTGTGTAGGGTTTCCAAGGAACAGCTGGTGAGTTTGAACCTCCAATGTTGCAGTTTAAACCGACCTTGCAGCCCAGTGCTTATAAGTGGGTGAGAAAAAAACCACATGGAGGTATGACTTCACAAGGTTGCAAAGAGGAGGTCTCTTTGTTCAGTGAGGGTTGAAAGAAATAGTACCTTTCTTTCTAAGTAGCCTTCAAGATTAGATGTGGAAGAGGCATGTGGAAAACGGGTTGGTTTTCAGCTGACTTGTGCAGTGCAGTTCTCCCTCTGTTGGAATGGAATTAGAGGTTGAAGGGCAGGAACTGAAGATGCTCTGTGTAAGATACGACATTATGCATTTGGTGAACCTTCTTTTCTGAAAATTATACTGCATTTTTTCATTTGGGAAGTCTTCCTTATCTTGAAAACTATAGACTAGATGTGTGCATAGGAGATCAGTCACAGCCTGGAGGATACTGTATCTAAAGTTGAATAGTAGCAGTTGGCTTTCATCAATAGACTGGGACAAAAGACTTTTACATACATATGCTGCCTTTGTGGTTTCAAGTTATTTGCTGTATGTACCAGCTTGCACTTCTCTCTGAAACTGATGATGACTTTTACATAATTATTTTTAAAAACTGAACTCCAAACAAATTCTCAATTACCTTAATATTGGTAATAGTTGGTAGTGTATGGCTCCAGGTAAAAAGTATAGTGTCTAGGGGAGCTTGAGCACCAGAAGACCCTATTCCCATACTATCGAAAATATTTTCCCTCCCACCAACTAAAGTTAGCTAAAGCCTCCTTTAACTGGTCACATGCACACTTAGTCACACACACACCCACCTTTGAGTGGGTCAGGCTATTATCAGTGATTTTGCAATACAGTACTGTAAACGCCAGACACGGATCCACGTCAGGCACAGATCCCACCAAGTTGACAGAAGAGACCACTGGAAGAAGAGCATCAAGGAGGGAAGGAGAAAATTTTTCTCAGCTGGAGTTCTTTTTCATTCCTTTGCCCAGTCCAGGAGGATGGTTGGGCACAAAACCCAAATTGCTTTCTTTTTAACAAAAACTGCTTTCTTTATGACAATTTAAAAATACCAAATTGTAAGGAAGAACAGAATGGGAGTAATTATTTTAAATACAAATGGTATAAAGCAACCAAAACCCAAAATTCACTGCTGGTGAGTCAATTGTGAATCACAGAGTGGACTACCCTATAGGGTTTTTGAGGCTTTCATTTTTATGGAAGCAGATTGCTATAGCTTTCTCCCGTGGAATGGCTGGTGGGGTCAAACCACCACGCTTCAATTAGCAGCCCAGTGCTTTACCGCTGTACCATCAGGGTGTCTCAAACAGTATAAAAATAGCCATATTCCCAAAGTACAAGTTTCTGAGCCTAAGGCCTACTAAGAGCTACCATAGCTTTGCAAGTACTTTGTCGACTCTCTTTCAACTTTATTTTTAACCATCTCATATTTGGGGATCTCCATCCCTAAGCCCATTTTAGAACCCTTTCACAAACTTGAATAAATAAACTTTTTCTTATTCTGACTCAATCATTGCTTTCTACCCGGGTGCGTGTTTAATGAGGGGGTGAGGACAGAGCCCTTTGAGGCTAGCCTGTCTACCCTGTCTAGAAACCTGTTTGACTGAGATGCTGTCTAGGTGCAGTGGGGAGTTTGGAGGCCAGGCTAGAAGGTTGACCAAGACAGCCTTTACCTCCTTTGTGATTGTCTTTTGTTACTTATTATGTTACTTATTAAAGCACAATAATTTTCCAGCATCTTGACAACTAAGCTCCATATTAAGATTAGTTTGGGAGTCTTTAAACCATAATCTTTCTCAAGTCAATTATGTTCTTCTAGCCAGCCTAGTTTAGCCTCCTTCTCTGTTATCTCTTAGTTCAAGGCCCTCAGCCTCCTTATCTAATTTTACTTCCTCTGCTACAAATAGGTATAGAAGAGGAAGGAGAAACATAGTCTTAGCACCTGTATCTTTTACTCCTGATAAAGAAACCTTCACCTCCTGTCCTCAGAATAAAGCTGGCTTTCTCACACCTCGCTGACATTATGCATGCTGTTTCGTTTGTGTGATTATTCCCTGTTTGTGTGAATGAATGCCCTACAGATGAAGGAAAAGAAGAGAAAAATGGAGCAAGTTCTTTAGAAGCCAGAAAGTGCCTGCCAGAACAGGGTGTGGAAGACTTGCCCTGGGCTCACCTTCAAGCACTCAGTAATTGATAGCAGCTTTTCTGTTAGTTGTTACTGGACAAAACAATCCTTGAGGATTGCTGGAAGCCATCTTGTGCTCAGGTGGATTTCAGAAGGGAAAGCCATGAAAACGGCCTTGTGTGCTGGCAAGTTGATTACGACTCATAGCCACCCTGTATAGGGTTTTAGAGGCTGTACGTTTCTACTGGAGCAGAAAGCCTCATTTTTCTCCCATGAAGCGGCAGGTGAAATCAAACAGCCACGAGAGCTCCTGAAGAGGGCCTAGATCTGGGTCTAGACGATGCTGCCATCACAAGAACAGCTAGAGGTTCGATTTAAATGTAAACCTGTGACTGAGATCTTTAAAATATCTCTGTCAAATGAACATTAGCTTGCTGCTCTGCCAAGCAGGAACCAAGCTCAGGCAACACCCATTGGAAACACTACTAGTTAAGCAGGCCTTTGTAGCTGATGATCGCTCACATTCACTACACCTGTTTGTTGTGAAAGTGACGCTGTATCTCAGCTGTTGCTTCATAGTAGAAAGGCAGTGATCTGAGCAGAGGTATAACAGAAGCATATGCTAGATGTTTAAATATGCCTGTTATTAGCTACTCTAGAGTCGATTCCAACTCAAGGCAGTCCCATGTGCCTAAGAAACTGGTTTCAAGTACTGTGGTTGCAGTATATTTTCCCTTCTCCATGTATTTTTTTTAAAAATCCAATGAGCAGAATTGAGATTGGGAGAGAGACACACACCCACACACACTTTTTTTCCTTTAGCGTACATTTACC